TGGTCGGTACCAACCTCGCCAGCTGAGGCGGGGGGCGCGAGGAGGGAGCCCGGCGAGGAGGCCTCCCCCCCCATTGGTATCACCTACCCCCACCCCTTCCACACACCCTCCCCGGCGGAGGCGGCTACCGCTCTAGGCGCTGGAGCCCAGGCTCCCGGGCGGGGGCCGAACCCAGCCGGGCCTTGGCTCTGGAGAGTTAAAGCGCGCCCGGCCTGCTGCCTGCACCCCCATTCCACCCCGCCTCCATCCTGGCTGTTCCTGGCGCCCAGCTTGGCAGCCTTTCTCAAAGGGTGATTGTTTCTGGGCTGGGTAGTTGGGGGGGGGGCGGGGGCAGTCCTCTGGGCCCGAGAGGCAGAGCTGGGGAGGTGGGAGGGCGCGGCTCCCTCCTTGGCTTCAAGCACCCTGGAGTGGGGGCTGACTGGTGGAGGCAGTTGGTACTTACCAGGGTGCCCCGGTGCCTCTGCGGGGTAAGATGGGGGGCCTCAGTCAAGGGTCAGTAGGGTGGGCCCACCTGTGGACACGGCTCTCTTGGAGGGACATGTTGAGTGTCAGACTCAACCCCCTTTCTGCAGTGTCCTGAACATGCCAAAGAGAAGGCCTGGGTGGCGAGGGAACAGGCAAGGGATGGAGGCCCAGAGATGCAGCAAAGGGGTCCAGCAGGCCATCCAGGAATTTTTATAGGCAACTTGAGCAGAGAAGCCTCTGCATGTTTGCCTGTGTGTGCCGTGTACCCTTGCTCCAGGGACTTGGTGATCTGGACGGCTGTGAGCGTGTACGTGTATGTGGATGTGTGTGTGGGGTGCAGGTGTGGCCAGTCCTGTTGCCATCTATGGAGATATTTCTAAATGCTCTTTTCATCAAGTTGCCAAAGACTTAGAAGCTATCCTTTTTCTTGGTTCAAATATTTGCATCCTGCCCCCCGGCCCCTGGGTTTGCTTCTTGGATGCTGTAGTCAGAGGCTCCCTCTGTACCCTTCAGAACCCAGGAGAGAAGGTTGGCTCCTGTTGCTGGGTTCTGACCCTTTGAGGCCAGGGGATATCAGTGCATTTCAGCAGCTCAGACTCTCACAAAGCCTGCACCTCTTGCCCTCACTTGGTGACCAAGCCTAGACCCAGTGTCAGGAGTCCCTGTACCACCAGCAGAGCATTTTTACAAACTGTGGATAGATGGTGAGAAAGGGGGGTCATGGGACCCCTTCCTGTCACTTTCTTTGCCTGCTGTTTGGCCAGCACCCGCTCCTTCTCCTGAATGTGTATGGTGCTGGTAAGACGATGGGGTGGGTGGGGATAGGGGTTCAGAATCAGATTATGGTCAAGACCCTCCATCCTGCAATCCCTGGAAAATGTAACTACTACCGCTGGAGACAACTGCACCTCCTTCTCACTCTTCTTCGGTTCCTGCATTTAACGGATTGCTTTGCAAACATGGAAGTCCTTCTGAATCTAACCAGAAGTTGCCAGTGCAGGCTCATTTTCTTATTCTGAGGACGCATAGATTATACAATTCCTACAGGGGAGTGCTCTTCCCTAATTGGAGTGGCCTCTGTTCCTTGGACTCTGCCAGAAGACCCTTTCCTAAGACCATGTTTTCCTTGCATTCTGCTCCCCCTTGGAGCTTCCACAGCAACTGAGCTGATGTGAGAGCAGGGGTGGTAGGGTGGGAATGCACAGGAGGGACCTGGCCATAGCTTGTCAGTTTGCAATTGGACTCTTCCCAGCTGGGCCAGCCCCGTCACCCAATCTGGACACAGAAGTGGCCTGGGAGGTTTCCAGGCCTTTACAAACAAGGACTCCCAGACCCACAGAGGGCTCATCTGCAGCGTGTGGGGTAAGTGTGTGTATGCCCACGAACAGGACACAGCCCCATGGGGAGGTCAGGCCCCGAGGATACCTGTGTTGCAGGGCAATTCTGAGGTGCTTCCTATGTGGCCCTTTTCCCCAGGACAAGTTTCTTTGGTAGTGAAATCAGGGGTGGGACAGATCAGTCCCCAGCCCTGCCTGATCTGCCAGGCTGTGGTCAGGTGGGTCTTTCGGTTCTCTGGTGGGCCCCCATGGGAAACTAACCAGATGGAGTGAGAAGAGTGGCATGCTTTATCCTGACTATTCTTTTAAGAAAAACAGTGGTCACAAAACCCCTTTCTAGGAACCCGGCTTGCACTTCAGCCCCAGGCCCTGTTTATGAAGTTTTTAATAATAATTTTTAGAGCCAACTTAAAATAATAATGTGGGATTAAAATTAACACGAGGAGGCTCAGTGAAGAGAGAACAACCTGCCATTAGTTTTAGTGGGGAGTTTTGGCACCAACCCAAGTGCACGGACGCACACACACAAATACATATCTGTGCAGGCACAAAACAGAGTGAGATGCACATGCAGAAATGCACATCTCTACTACTCTCCTGTACCTGTGTGCACACATGCATGCACACGTGTGAGTCCCTGTACCACCTGTACACAGACTGACTTGTTTATGCACACATGTGCATGGGTTCCCGCAAAATGGTGGATCGTAACACACATCTTCCTTCCCCCTCTCTGTCTTCCCACTCCGCAGTTCTGTGAAAATCCTTTTCTCCCATGTCTGGATTTAGTGTCTCCCTTTGGCTGACTTGGCTCTTGCTCTGAGTATCTGGAGCAGCCCCTGGGTCTCCCTGAAAGACGAATCTTCCCTTTTGCCTTCTCCCCGTGCCAGAAGCTAGCCCCTCTTCTCAGCCCCCAAAGCCTAGCACCAACATGTTTAGTATGCAAAGCCAGAGTCTGTCCTCTGGGACAAGCCGTTATGTGTTTATTGTGTAGTTAAGCAGGACGGGAGCCCTGCCCCCCGCTCTGGTCCTGGCCCAGCTTCTATAATCTGACTCCCAGAAGGGGCCCATAAAATCATCATCTGCAATGCAAACCCTGCAGAACTTCTGGGAGGGTCTGTAGGTGTTCTCCAAATTACCTGTGCCCTAATTTAATACGAATCACAATTAGTTTACTCTTATCAATTAATTGTTCCCCTTGTGGGTCCCCTCTGTCTCTGCCTTTCTTTCAACAGGAGCTTTGGTCTGATTTCCAAGGAGTCCTTCCTTCTCAGCTAACCACTCCTGGGAGCTGACAGGTGACGGAGCTGCTCTAACCCTTCTGGGATCCAGAGCCTGGCTGAGTTGTCTAAACGTTGGGAGCCCCATGTCTAAATGTTGGGAGCCCCTTCTCTAGGAAGTCACCCCAAATCTATAGTGGTGATTGTGTAATGGTCAAGGGGAACACGGCACTCCCTTACCATGGTTGCACAGGCACACACAAGGGTGCCCTGCTGACCAGACATTAGCTCTTGAACATGCTTCTCCTCCCCCCCTCGCCCCCCACCAAGTACCATTAGAAGTGATCCTTTGGTCACCAGGACTCTCAGCTCCTTCCCCCGCCCCTCCCCCTTCCAGCAGAGCCAGCATTCCTCCTGACCCTCAACCAGAAGGCAGACATAGCCAGCCCGCCTGCCCCTCTCACCCCTCTCACTCTGCACCCACAGGAAGGGCACTACTGCAAGGCTGTAGACTGCTTTAATGATCTTATTTTTATTTTGTTTTTCCAGTGGCTGAGGGAAGCATGAGAGGAGATGGGGCAGAGCCCTATGAGCTGGGGGAGTGCCCCTCAAAGTAAACTGCAGATCATTCTCTGTGTCCTTGGGGGAGTGAAAATAACCCTTGCCTCGCTCACTGCTCCCTGGTCACTGCTCAGGGCCAGTTCTCCCTCAGTTCTCCGGAGCCTCCCCAGAGCCCCTATCAGTTGGGCTCTTCAGTTGCAGAACTATGGTGATTCGCTCAGTTCCCCCAGGATCTTGCTGGGACCCTATGGCCCCTACCACCCCCTACCATGGCTTCCTGAAGTGAAGGGGAAAACCCCCAGGGGTCAGGAGGAACTGACCCTCCCCCCATCCCACAGTACTTTCTCTGGAGCTCATGGAGTGCAAGCTCTCATTTATTCAGCCAGTATTTCATGAGCTCCTGTTGCCTGCCGGGCACTGCCCCGAGCACTCCAGATATAATAGTCATAACTGGAAGATCCACCAAAAGTGGCGATTAGAAAATTCGACTTTGATTAGACCCTTTGTATATACCAGGTAATGTTCTTCATGTGCATTAACTTATTTCATGATATTAAGTACTGTTTATGATAAGGTTCTATTACAAATTCCACTTTATAGGTCAGGAATCCGGGGTGTAGTATTTAGGTGATTTAATCAAGATCGCATGTTTACTAAGTGACAAATTTGGCATTTGATGCCAGCAGTCTGGTTCCAGGACACACGCTGCTTGTCATCCGAGTATACCTCAGGAGCTTATATGCTAGTGGGTGTAATAGGCAGGCAAACAAACAGAATAAACACAGATGTTGAATGAGATGGAGGAAGGAAATCAACAGGGTGAAGAGCTGGAGAGCATCCCGGGAG